GAGAGAGAGAGAGAGAGAGAGAGAGAGAGATGACACAGTACACAGAAGTAAGAAGAAGATAATGAAATCTGGATAACTGTAGTTTTGTGTAAATTTTGAGAGAAAATGTTAGATTAGAATAGAAATATCCAGAGATGGGTATCTTTTGACTTGAAATCATGGTTTTTTTGGGTGATTAAAGGTGGGCGGGAGTGGGTGGGGACTAAAAGGTCACGAAGCCAATGGTCTATTAGTACGGCCAACCACCGCTCTCTTTTGCTCTTTGACTATCTGTTATAATAATACGTGAATTTAAAAAATAGTTTTAAAAATTAAATTTGATAATTTTAATTATTAATTTTATTGTGAGTCTCATTATTTATTAAAAATTTACTATCTATTCAATGATTGAGATTCAAGTCTAATTTTTAAGTTTAGTTTTTAAATCCATCTAACATTACTCTATAAATATTATCAACTAGAGTCCAGCATGAAATATATTTTTAATTTATTTTATTTTTTTTTCTTTTTCTTCTTATTATTTTAGAATGTAATTGGAGGAACTCTTAATAGAATAATTATTATTTATTTTATATAAATAGAAAGATGTCTCACTCAAATTTAATGGCATGCCGTTGGAAAAACTGTCTATAATTAATTCTTTGTCGGGAATGAGAATACCCGATTTTTTTTTAATAATATTTTTTTAAAAAAAATCTGTTGATGATATTAAATTTTTAAAATGTATATTTATAGTAGGATTAGTGCTAAATGAATAGAGTCCATGATCATTCTAATAATCAAGGATTAAAATTTTATTTCGATAACCTAAAACATAAAAACGTTTCAAAAATAAAAGTGTTATGAAAATAAAATAAAAATGAATAAAATAAATAAAATTTTACTTAAAGCATTATGAAATTTTGGTTGAAAAATATGGAAACAACTTAAAATACTTCAAAATATTACGAAACACTAATATAAATATGTCGACACTTGAAAACATTAAAATTTTAATTCAATCATTGATTTATTTTGTCTCATAAAAATGAAAATTTTAATTCAATCATTGATTTATTTTGTCTCATAAAAATGAAAATATTTCGACTGCTTCACTTATTTCGATTGTTTTGACACGAATTTTTTATCCTTACTAATAACAGCAAATTTGATTAGCAAGTTTAATGAATATCATTATTATTTTTGTTTTTGTCACATTACAGACATAGCGGTGGTGAGAGACAATTTTGTAAAAATAACAATTACACAATATGGATTAACACCGACAAGAAGTGTAAATTCTGAATTTAAAAACTCTATAAAGAGCTAATTATTTTTTACCCTCAAAGCTTTTTATCCAAGTTTGAAAAAACTATAATCTTTTTTTTTAAGGTAAATAAACGAATTTCATTCATAGAAATATTTAGTGTAACAAAAGCAAGGGGAAAAAAAACCCTCAGAGTACAATAACATAAAGCTGAAATCTAATAAACTTTTTTTTTTTTGAAGAGAAAGAGGAAGAACTTAAACCCTTGACCTCAAAAAGACAAAATTTTCGTAAAATAAGAAGTACCATTAGACCAAAAAATCTGTTGGTTTAAATCTAACAAACTAGTTTGTAACACAGCACATTGGCTTTACCACCCCTCAGCATTTCAAACACTGGTCACGTTCAATCTTTTCCAGTTTGCCGGCCATAAAATAACTTGAGGGCATGACCAATTCTTTTTTTCCTCAATTTTCATTTTCTCCCATGTTTCCTTTTCTTACCAAATAAATAAAAAAAATATATCATTAATCAAGACCAAGTTTGTATGGAATCCCATGATACTCGTTGTTCTTAAATCCCCCTCATGAGCAGAAAAGTCCTAGTTCCACCCCAAAATTTTTGAAAAAATATATATTGGGACATAATTTTGAAACATTGATAACGTTCGTTCAATATTGGAGCTGATAATTTAATTGTTATAATCATTAAGAGTGTGTTTGGGATGACTTAAAAGAAAAAAACACTTATAGAGTTTTTGACTTATGATAAGCCTTTTTCTTAAAAAAAATAGTATTTGGAATAATTTCTCAAAAACACTTTTAAATAAGTAAAAATAATTTTAACACTTAAATAAGTTAATAAGTTGGAATAAAAAAAAATAACTTTTTCTTTTCATAAAACACTTTTTTTTTATTTCACAATCCGCATCCCCTGCCCCCCCGACATCCCCAGACGACACCGATCACCGTCGACGATGACCACCGACGAAGCTCGAGAGTGTATTATCCATCCAAAGGTAATGATGTGGAGGCTATTTTAAGCTAGAAAGTCAGCAACGGTAGAAGGACCAGCTGATCACCTTCGGCCGTCTTCAAGCTCAAGAACTTTTACCGGACCAGCAAGACTCTTTTCTGGAGAAACAGTGCAATCTGCTCCTCAACGACTTGAAGCTGTTACTCACGACATCATTTTCTGGAGCAATGGATTCACAATAGATAATGGTCCTTTGAGGAGTTTGGAGGATCCTGAAAATGCATCCTTCTTGGAGGTGGGTAGTACCACTAAATTTCTATTTTGAGTGGTGTGAAAGTTCTGATATTCATTATATTGAATAATAGTTGGTACTGCAAGTTTGCAGTTATAATCCAAAGTTGTGGTAAATGTATGTCCCATCTTTTGGGCGAGTCATTGAAATTGCTTATTGCTCATGCTGTGATATCTTGATGATTTGTGTTGATACGTGATAACATTTGTATTGCCCATTGTCCACTGCCCCCACCAACTGTTTGATTTATGGCCAAGCAAACTAAGCTCAACAAAAGCATTAATAAGTGGAAGATACACACACCATATATTTTTACATCAAAACATATTTTTTATATAATACTTTAATTTAAGCATTTTTGATTTTGAATATCCAAATAATACCTATTTAATAAAAGTGTTTTTCTTATAAAACACTTTTGATAAACACTTATTGAAAAAATATATATGAAATTTCATAAGTCATCTCAAACACACTCTAAATCTTAAGATTAGTGGTCCAATAGGATATTGGATGAACTTTTCATATAAGGTCGGAAGTTTGAGTCTTGGAATTCATATTGCAGTTCAATGGTTGATTGTTATATTAGCCTAATTAGGTTCGTTTCTGAGAGATGTAATGAGTGCGGTCAAAAGCCTCATCTCTGAATAACCTTACCTTTTTTTTTTTTGGGCAAGGGGCGTCATATATTAATAATTAATCAAGATCAAAATAGAATTTGAATGGTGAAGGTGGTTTGCCATTTGGCAAGGGAATTAGTGGATTCATTAGAGCATCTCCGAGAGATGTTGTATAGTACAAAAATAGCTAAAATTTAACTAATCAAAACAAAATTTTATCTTCCAACAGATGCTCTTCAAATACTCTAAAATAGATTTTTACTAAAGTGATACTCTAAAAATAGAGTATCACTATAGCAATTTGTAAACATATTTTATACTATTTTCTTTTTCTTTCTCTCTTTTCTTTCATTCTCTTTATCATTATTACCAAAAAATAATAATTTAAAAGAAATGAGAAATAATATTTAAAAGGAGTAGTTAAAAATATAAAAAATCTATTGGAGTATGTATTGAAAAAGTTAGTAGTTAAAATAGAAAAAATTGCTTTTTAAATAGCTAAAATACAATTTGTTGTTGGAGATGCTCTTAGAAGTTAGGACATTATAAATAGAGCAATGGTATAGAGACCTTATTTGAGGATCTTATTTAGGGATCTAATGATGTAATTTCAATACAATTATTAGATTAGTTGTGAGTTTTAATATTTGATAAAGTTCACAACTAATCTAATAGTTGTACATCATTAGATCCCTAAATAAGATTAGATAGGAAAAATGAGAACACGTGGCGTTGTGTCCAAAATGGAAATACTACTCAGACTGGTACTTGGTGTTGCCCATTGCACTTGCGCACTTCCCTGAAATGCCCCTTTGTAACATATTTTGGCAATATAAATTGATTAAAACAAATATGAAAATATTGTAAAGGTGAACCTGCTTACATTTTATTCTCTTTTGATCATATCATGATTGAAGCGTGCTTTGGATAATTTTGTTTTTTTATCCGTGACACCATTGTTTGTTTTGGATTTTTGTATACAATACATAAACAATTGCATTCATATGATTGATTCTAGGGTAAATCGCAAATTACACCTCAAAAGATTGTTCAAATTTTAATTTATACCTTCAAAGATAAAAAAAAATCAATTTACACCCTTAAAGATATAAATTTGTATCAATATACACCTAAAACTAACAGATATCAATTTACTGTTTCAAGTTAAATAGATAAATTATACTTAGACCCCCTCATATTTATTACTTAATTATCTAGACCTTTTACATTTGAAATATTACATTTACATTCCTTGAGAATCTAAATATGACTAAAAATGTTTCCCTAATTGGGCATCCAAATAATTCTGTTCAAGTGATATATTGCATTAGATATAAAAAAAAATATTATACAAATATTTGCATTATATTGGACATTGAAATGGTGAGTTTGATTTTAAACTTTAGAATATAATGGACCCACAATATAAATGGTAGTATTGAAAATTATAATTTTTTATTAGGATGAAATCATGTTTTTTAACAGTTATATTAACAGATATCAACGGCAATGAACTATGTGTTACACATACACAAACTTTAAGAGGTATAAGAGTAATATTCCTAATGTGAGGGGTCTAAATAATTAAGCAACAAACTTAAAAAGAGTTTAGGTGTAACTTACCCAGCTAGTTTTAAACCGCAAACTAATAGTTGTTAACTTCAGGTGCGCATTAAAACAAATGTATATCTTTTAGGAAGCAAATTGAGATTTTTTATCTTTAAAGATACAAATTAAGATTCAAAAAACCTTTCGAAATATAATTTGCGATTAACCCTTGATTCTAAAATGTATGATCTAGATCAATGCTCTTCTTCACTATAAAAACTTAATGTCCCTATAAATTTTATGGCTAGTTATTTAATTCATAGTTTTCAAGGACAACATTATTATTGTGACTTAGATGTTGTTGCATTGATTTAAATTTTTCAACCAAGGTCATTATGGATTTTAAGTCCTCTTGGAATGCTTAGAATCAAAGTCCCTCAAAAATATGATGGGTCCTTGACGTCCAAAGGTTGATACATTGGTTGTTTGGCATCAGTTTTCGATCTTATGTCATCTGATTTTGAATTCTTTTAAGTTTAGCCTAACATTGTTGTATGAAGAGAACATTATAATAATGAAAACTTTGCGATCAGGATTAAATCACATTACCACGCACATTCTTAGTCCGACTTTGGAAGCATTTCTCACAATTTTTTTGAGCACATGGAAAATGTGAATTAGTGTGGAGCCCACTAGATCTTCTCAACGACCTTTTCTTAGGCCTCAATCATGAAATCCTAACCATTTCCATCGGAAAAACCTCTGTAAGTTACGACTTTTTCCTGGGATTAATACCAACACATGCAACAAACGTTCTGCTTAAAACATCATCTGCCATCTTTTCCATGTGAGACTTCATTAGGTTCCTCAATTGGTATATCGTTTGTATCCCAAACGAGCACTTGCTCAGCAACTCATCTTTATCGGTACAAAAAGTGTGGTCCTTTACTTGGGTACAAAGGTGTGGGAGAAAAGGAAGTCCAAAGGTCTCTCTCTCTCTCTCTCTCTCTCTCTCTCTCTACGTATATACATGTATATGCTTATGCGTGTGTGTGTGCGCGTGCGAGCGCATGTAACAGCACCATTCATCAATGAAGGAAATTAATCAACCTAGTTGTTCAGTAACTCATCTGTGTGGTGTGTGGGTGTGCGCACGTGCGCGGGTGTTTATCAGCACCATTCATCAATGAAAGCAATCAAAGAAGGATGCCTATGTACACACACACAGACTGTTATGTGCTACCATCTATTTTGCATGGAAAAATTAGCATAGATGTAAAGAAGGCAATGGTTATAACTTACACCATATCTATGATGAACGCAGATTGGCTTTTGCTGTAGGAGTGGTTGTTGGCATCTGAAAGCAAGAATCCTCAAGAGCTCATGCTTCATCCAGTACATATTGTGACTAGTAATTCAAAAGCTTTATGCCTTACCATTCTGCATTCCCCTAGTTGCATGAAGCAGGATCCAACAAAGCTGTTTCATCTGCAAAATAACAAAGGTAAGTTGACAGAAAACCTTTAGACATTAATGCTTGATTGCAGTTCACATCTTGATGCATATAAACATGTCATGGAACAATGAATTTTTACAAATGCACAAATCCATCATCATGCGTCAAGCCATTGATGACAAGAAGTAATTGAATTATCACACAACGTAAATCTATGAAGCTTATTACATCAATCTTGTGGAATCGGCATGTCATCAAATTCATCCAACCAACTTGGCAGAGAGTTCAGGTAAAGTCGTTTTGTAGAACCCCACATATGACCATACAAGATCTACAAGTGATGACAAAGCAAAATAGAATTTGAGTGTATCTGTGAGTTTTACTCATCATAGCCATTCAAACTTCACGAGATGTCCAAGCTAAGCCAGCAATACATTAGATAGTAGTTTCAAACTGGACTCAACATGAACTTCACAACTTACTGAACTACAAATATCAAAACATACGGCGACCCAACCCTATGAAGCAAGTCAATAAACACCACTACGAAAATGGAAAATGGTCGTTATTGCATAAGGGAACCGTTTCAAGAGGAACACCTTCTTCTACATGTTATTTATGAAAGTAGTTCAAATTTACATTTTCAGATTTATCAGACCACTAAGACCTTCAACCAAGGATACTCAGGAACACCTCTTTCTGTACACAGCTCATATATCACAAGGATAAGCTTCAAGCAAATATCAGGTAAGTGGATTGAATTAGCATTCTGCAGCACTGTTTGAGCTGTCATTTGCTGTATGCCGAACAAACTGTCCGCGAACACGTGGCCTCTGTTCTGCTAATTTCTTCCTATTCTGGTATCGTACCTAAAGAAAGAGAACACAACACACAAAAAAAAGTATCAATAATACAGTTCATTAAGTTTCCACAAAAAACAAAAAAAACTACAAAAAACACTGTTCCATAAATACAAATAGATCGATGTCATCGTTCCAAGAGAGTGGCCAACAGGCTACTGGGAAAGGTGGAACAGATTACGTGACTGATCCACAATCAAAATAGTCGGTAGCATGGTATGTGCCCATGCTAAGTGAATTGGAAAGCTTAGATCATAATATGCGTTTTTGCCCCTGATCTACCTCCTTCCTGCCCTTTATTTATTAATCGTATGATTTCATCAGGATTCTAAGTGATCACTTCCAGGATACAAAGTCAAAATAAGCTACACTAGAAGATACTTCAATAGACACCAAATGAGTTTAGTACAGCCACTATTGATGCAATACTTGGGGTTTTAAAAAGTAATGATGACCATATCCAAGGAGCAGAAACTGCATTCATAATGTTGAGGGGTTCAAATGTGAACAAACTACATATGCCATGTCACTTCATCACATTAGTGCTTGACATTGCATGCTTTTGTGTGTGCTTGTGCATAGGCTATCATCCAAGTGCACCAAAACTAGATGGAAGCCTTAAATATCCTATTATGTGGTTTCACCACCAGTGTAGGAATCAGATCTCCATAATTTTGGAGTAAGCCAGTGTGACACATCCAACTCATATTGCAAAATATTCTCTACTTTGAGCTAGGATCACACCGCTTTAAGACGTCTTGTAAAATTAAGGTCCATAACTCACACTTATAAAGCAACTCTCCCACACACTTCTCAAAGCAGAGTAAAACAAGGTACATGGACTTGATACCCTCATTTCATCTCATTCATCTTGGCCCCAAGCGTAGGAGGCGTTGGTCTCTTCACCACAATCCACCCTTTTAGGACCACACATCCCCCTGTCGAGCCCGCCTCACATTTCTTGTTGGTGCTAGCTCCGAAATTCACATACAGTGTACAAAACAACATAAATTGTAATGCTTCGGCCCCGACTCTGCAATATTCTCCGTTCGAGTAAGGCTTGCATGACATTAAATTGCATTGTACAATAATGGTTCAAATCTCACACTTATAAGGGAACCTCACACACACTTCATTAAGTAATACGGGACAAGTACATAGACTCGGCACTCTCACCTCACCTTATTTATCTTGGCCCCAAGTCTCTGGAATCCTAACCTCTTGATCTCTCAGGTCAACACAGACTAACTACCACTTCCTTTTCCAGACTCTTGTGCACAGCGTATGACATCAAGGTTCACCACCCCCAGAATAGTGTCGTGTGAAGCCATATGTTACCCAGTGCACAAGGGTCTCAAAGAGGTATCCAGTATCTACCCTTACCAGACATGTAGGTTCACCACCCTCAGCACAGTGTTTGGTGAACCTAAATGTCATGCCCAGTTCGTGGGATTTAGCTTTGCATCTATGCATAAACCAGTTGGTAAACCAATTGTCCGGTGAACTAGGTCTTGCATCTGGTCAACGAATAATACCTTCTATTTATACAATACTAGTTAATTTATCTATACTAGGGCAAAGTTTTATAGTTTGGGAAGTACCTCTTAGGGCAAAATCTTTAATTTATGAATCGCATATTTACTTCTATATTCATCTCCATACAGAAAAGAGGAGATAAAAATGGGACAATAATCAAGCAGAAATAAAAAAAAAAAAAATAATAACATCTCTCCTGTGGTAGTAATCAAACACCATCAATGATGACGTTATCAACTAAACCTACTATTACCTTACTTTCTAAAGCATTGCTCCTTCCTCTTCTGCCGAAACTTGTTCAAGGCAGCCTCTCTCAGCACATATTTAGTTTGATCCATTCTATTTCCACTACCGCTCCCACTAGCATCAACACTTCTACTTTTCCCAGCTAATCCAGTCTCACTTTCTGCCTTTGTTCCTCCAGCATTAATGGCAGTGTTGCCTTCCTTCAGCCCGTTGCTTCCAAGGTTACTGCCTGAAGCACTTCTGTTCAGACTGAAATTTCCAGGGTTACCTTCAACAGGCCCACTCAACACATTTGATGACCCACATTGTGGAACATCTGCAGCAGATTTCTTCAATAGTGGACCATCATGGTTGGATGGTGTCTCTACTTGTTCCATGTCATGAAAATGATGGTGATGATGATGGTGATGAATGTGCTGAATCGGGACCTCCTGGTGTGAGAGTGGAGCGAGTGCTGGTGGAGTGACCACGTCATCAGCCTTTGCTAATACTTGCTGTGAGGTGCATCTGAGGTCATTTTTTAGAGGTTTAAAAACAGATGATAAGTGCAAACCATGGATTGTCGATGTTGCTTCCGACTTATCTTTCAAAATTAATACGTTAGTAGAAAGTTTATTAGTGGTGGAGGCCATGTCTATAATATTGCTAACCCCATTTGAGCTTGGATAGAGAATGTTTCCATCTGAATGAGCTCTGGTATTGCAGACTGATTCTTTTTTAATGACCTCTAGGCTATTGTCAAGTAGAGAACTACTTCCAGCGTTAGGGGCCTTAAAGGCATTTGATGTTGTTGTGTACCTGTAAAATGACATATAGCGTATGAATAACTCAATCCTATGAAAATCCCATTTCAAAGCAATGGAATACAATGATATCACATGGTCATGTTAAAAATGAAAATTATCATCACATGGTATTTGTTTCCTTCAGACCTTGAGAAGGCAGAAAGCTCCGAGCGTCTCAAGACATTGCGATCATCTTGAACTGTGTTGCTGCCATCTTTAACTCCTCTAAGCCTCTTTAAACTAAGCTTGATGGCGGGTAATTCCTTAGAATCGTCCATGCCTATGTTGTTTACTAAAATCTTTTCAACTTCTCTAGGAGCCTCAAATTCCCTGCTGTTCATCAGAGGATCAAACATGCTGGCAATGTCTACTTTTTGTTTATTGGATGGACAACCAACGCAAGGATTTTCCAGTCCCTTTTCAATCCTTCTGCTTGCCTTAGACTCTAATTCAGACAAGGTATTCTGCTTTCTACCTAGAAGGTCTTTTGGAACACCAATTGGATTCTCAGGTAGCTCTGCTGGATTTTGAAGTTCACCTGTCAACAACTCTTTCCCCTTTGTTACATTTACTGGAAAGAAATTAAAAAAACAAATCTAATTCAGAGAAAGTAGGAACAAATACAAAACAAGCTAAAATGTTGAACAACACCGAGATTCATCTACAGCTACATTTGTAAACATCTAATTCCAACAATGTCATGCATACCAAGTTGGTCTTCTTGTTCTTGGCAACCCCTTGTTGCAGTCTGAGGCATCCATTTGTTCACAAAGTGCTCAGCATTTGATCGGATAACTTGGGCACAAGTGCTGTCTGGACGGTCAGCTATTTGATTACATGGAGACACTGCTTGAGAGCTGTCAACTTCTACACCTTGTTTTGTCCAAGTACTCTGCAAAATACAATTTCTCTTTTCTTAAGAGACAATTTTATTAATAGTAAAAAAAAATAGTAGAGCTGGGCAATGAATCCAACTTAACGTATAATGAAAAGAAGCAAAAGATTATATTCAAATAGCAGGCCAAGACAAAATCACATTCCACTAATTGACAAACCACATTCCAACTTTGGTGAACAACAAAAAACAAAATATCTCAAAACTCTTCAGTAGCCAATGCCCATAAAGATGCCACAAACTTAGCTCTCTCCAACAACAATCTCCATATTCCCTTGTGCCATCAAATATTCTCCTACTTTTCTCCATCCAAACTGTTAAGAGTATTAGAGTATTATTTATGTAAATACTAGTTGTAATAGGTATATCATAAAGAGGGTATACTCGTCTTTTGTATGATCACGAGATAAATATAAATACAAGTGGTTTATAAGAGGTAGTTTAAGCTTTTTGACCACTCTCCGTTTCTCTAATATTGTGCTAATTCTCTAAACTTAACATGGTATCAAAGTAAGGTTGATCCAAATTTTAATCCAAGAACTTTTTTTTTTTTATTGATCCAAAATTTAATCTGAGAACTTTTTTTATTGAAGATTTGATCTGAGAATTTCTTTCTTCGTCTCTCTTTCTTCTTTTATTTTCAGTTCAATTTATGTTCCGTTAATCTGATTTCTCAGACAGTGTAAACCCACGACCATGGTCTAGGGTCGTGGGTGATGGTTTAATGTCAGACTCCTTGTGAGTGTGTTGTGGAGGTCGATTGTGATTGGTTGTAGGTTGTGGGTTGTGATTGTTGTCTACAACTGGTATGTCATCACTGTGCTGCGACATGTGTTGTAGTCTGTGATCGTGGTGGCTGTTGTGTTGTGATTGTTGCTATGTGGTGGTCGTTAGAGGTCTGGGAGGTACCCTCTGTTGCTGCCAGAGCATGGTTGTGGCTGCTAGTAGCGTGGTAGTGGCGTTGGTGGAAGACACCGTTGGAACTAAGTTTTTTTTTTTCTCATGTGGAGAAGACGAGCTCAACACATCGGGTCGGAACTTAAATAACTTTCAAAGCCCAGCCATCCAAGTTTCAAAGCCCCAATCCACATATTCAAGTTTGAGCCCAGTTCACTCAGCCCCAATCCACATATTCCAGTGGGCTTTTTGGGTCCAGTTCAGCGTTCCAACAGCCTTTTCCAACCCGGTTCAGTGGTCCAATAGTTGGTTCTGGTCCAGGTTCAGCATTCCAGTGGGCTTTTTTGGTCCAATTCAGCGTTCCAGTGGTCTCTCTAGTTCAGCTTCTCCCAGCCTCCCTACTCTGCTGTTCTGTGCTACTTAAGGTCTTTTCTCACCTTTGTTCTTATTTGAGTGCCCCTCACTTGTTATATTTACTATGGAACCCAAGCAAGGCACTACCACTCCACATTTGCCACTGAACTTTTCTCTCACAGTTCTCCTTAATGGTCCCATGACTTTCATTAAGCTCAATGGGACCAATTATTTTTTATGGGCATGGTCGGTTCAAGTGTTTCTCAAAGGCAAATGTTTTAAAAAATATTTTGTGGAAACTAAACCCGAGGAAAGTGATCTTGGGTATGATTGGTGGGAACATGAGGATGTTCAGATTATCTTTTTACTTTTGAATAGCATCAGGACCAATATTAGCTCTACTTTGCTTTATCTAGACATGGCCAAAGAGAGATGGGTTCACTTGGCCACCATGTATTCTAGCACAAGTAATTTTACTCGTGTATATGAGGTGTGCAAATAGCATTTTCTCCTAGAACGGAATACTCTGAGTCTCAAGAATTATTACTCTCACATTCGGACAATTTGTGAGGAATTGAAGCTTTACCACCCTTTCACTACTAATGCAGCAATTTGACAGAAACAACATAATTATTTGAATGTTGTTCATTTTCTGGTGAGTTTGAAACCTGAATATAAGTCTATTCACTCTCAGATTTTGGGTGACTCTAGTCTTCCCTCTTTACTTGAAGTTTTCTCCCGTTTATAGTGTGTTGCCTTGTCTACTGGCTCTTTAGGCACTGATCATGGTGTTTTCAGTGATCACTCAGTTCTTGTTGTTCCTACTAGCCACAATGATGGTCCTCAGGGTGCACGTCGTAATCACGGTGGTCGTGGAGGTACCGGAGGCCATACTAGCAGTCGTGGAGGCCGTACTGGTCCTCGTGTGGCGTGGAGGGCACACTGTTGATTTTTGTTAGGATTTACATAGCAAATCTTCGAGTGCTACTAATCAAATCTCCTATCAAGATAACACTTCTTCTCTATCTGTTCCTATTTTACAATCAGCTCCGTCTGACTCTGAGCTAGTTTGTATCACCCAAAGAGGAGTATGCTCAGTTCATGTTTCGGCAGCCATTTGCTCCATCTTCTTCCACTACCACTTTTGCTCAATCAAGTATCGTTTCCACTTGTTTACTATCCTTTAGCCACTGTTCCTGGATCATAGACTCCGATGCTTGTAACCATATCACTGGTTTGTCTGGTGTCTTTCTACTTAACATTTTGCTCTTTCCACACACAATGTTATGCTTACTAATGGTAATTCTTCTAAGGTTATAGGTTTGGGGACTACTCAATTAAGTTCTAATATGTCTTTATCCTCCGTTTTATTTGTTATTTAGTTTCTTTTTAGTTTATTTTTCATTAGCAAGATCATCCGCTCCCTTAATTGTTCAATAACCTTTTATCCCTCTTATTGTATGTTTCAGGATCTCCAGACGAGGAAGAAGATTAGTACGGACATGAAGTCAGTGGTCTCTATTACTTTGACTTTAATCCGCCTACTCAGGTACTCTAGACCTCGTCATCCCATTTTCAGTGGTATTGTTGTCTTGGTCATCCCCCTCTCTAGAATCTAAAGTGTCAAGTTCCAAGTTTTAGTTTTGTCATCTGAGTCTTGTGAAACTTGTCAACTTAGTAAGCATCATCGTGTGTCCTTTCAATCCAGAGTCAATAATAATGTGTCTAGTATGTTTGAGTACATCCTGATGTATGAGATCCAATAAAATATATTTTATCTAATAAATATCTTTATTTTGTATTATTTGTGGATGATTATTCTCCTATGACTTAGTTATATATCAAGAATGTCTTCTTACATGGTGACTTGGTTGAAGAGGTATACATGGAGTAATCACCTGAGTTTACCACTTAAGGAGAGTACTGTAAGAGTGTGTGTCAATTAAAGAAATCTCTATATGGTTTGAAACAATCACCAAGGAGCAGACCACTCTGTGTTTCATAGACAGACAAATGTTGAATATGTTCTATTTGTAGTTTATGTAGATGATATTGTAATTATTGGAACGATTCTGAGAAGATTGGCAAGTTAAAAACCTTTTTGCACAACCGATTTCACACTAAAGGCCTAANGATGATATTGTAATTATTGGAACGATTCTGAGAAGATTGGCAAGTTAAAAACCTTCTTGCACAACCGATTTCACACTAAAGGCCTAAGAAAACTCAAGTACTTCTTGGGTATTAAGGTTGCTAGATCTAAATAAGGTATTTGTTTATCGTAGAGAAAATATGTACTTACCATGCTAGAAGAAATAGGTTTGTTGGGTGACAGATCAATTGATGTTCCTATGAATCCGAATCAGAAATTGTTGATGGATGATGGTGCACTATTTGAGAATCCAAGTCAATATCGCAGGTTGGTTGGGAAGCTCAATTATCTCACTATTACCCGACCACATATTTCCTATGCAGTTAGTGTAGTAAGTTATTTAATGGGATGCCATAAAGAACCATATTGGGAGGCAATCACTCGTATTCTTCAATACCTTTAACACGCTCCTGGTCTTGGGTTGTTGTATCGAGCTAATGGACTTCTTAGAATGGAGAATTTTCAGATGCTAATTAGGCTGGCTCTCCTTCTGATCGAAGATCAACTACCGATTATTGTACTTTCTTGGGAAGTAACGTTGTCTCATGGAAAAATAAGAAACAAACATTGGTAGCAAGATCCAGTGTTGAGGCTGAGTATAGAACAATGGCACATACAACTAATAAGTTGATGTGGCTACTACACTTTCCCCAAGAAATTAACTTTCCAATTTAACCTCCTTTACAGTTGATCTGTGATAATCAGACAGCTATCCATATCTCTGTCAATCTAGTATTTCACGAGAGAACCAAACATATTGAGGTTGACTGTCACTTTATTTGAGACAAGATAATAGCAGGAGATATTACAACTCCATTTGTAATACCTGAGGATCAACTTGCAGATATATTCACCTGAGTCTTATGCATCTTACAACCATTTGTTTCAAGCTTAGATTATATGATATATATATATATATATAGTTTAGCTTAAAGGGGAGTGTTAAAAGTATTAGAGTATTATTATGTAAATACTAGTTGTAATAAGTATACCATAAAGATGGTATACTCATCTTTTATATGATTACGAGATAACTATAAATACAAGTGATTTGCGAGAGGTAGGTTTAAGTTTTTTTTACCTCTCCATTTTTTTAGTATTGCGTTAATTCTCTAAATTTAACACAAACAATTTGAAAATAACCATATCTACATAATTCAACAGTATGCAGGCCATTTTATTTTTACTAAAGCCTTCAAAATTCTACACAAACATAGATCCACAACTTTACGACATTATCCAATCCATTCTTGTTTCCCTAAGTAATCCTTGCCACCGTCTAAATGCAAAAGAACAGTGAATTGGTTGACTTAATTACGCTTTCTAATTAATATCTACTACGTCTCTATCTTCAGAACTCTATTCATTACATACTCAAGATTATGAAAGGACCCTCAATTTGGACTAGCACAAGAGAACCCTTATCCATCAGACGATCCAGATAACACATTGGTCCCATGCATGTGATTACATGTAGCTTTGAAGCACTACTACTTGCACCTAGTACTAAATGTCACGCACTGTACATTACTACAAGCATTCTATCTATCAAAGCATCCAGTCTAAAACCAACTGACTATGATTGGAGGGGGCC